ATTACCTTAGACCTTTATTCTAATTGTTTACAATTCAAGCATAGTTAGTTTTCAGCTGTTTATTCATTTTCAATCTTGTCTTCTTGGTGATATTAAACAGATACAGCTAAGTTTTAGTTCTTTGTGGGATTCGTCTTCGGACTTTTAGACCGGATTATATTTGCAGCGACTGCTTATCCTTTTTAGGACTAGAGTTGGGCGTGATCAAGTTTTGGCGCCGTTGCCGGGGACCGCTTATCCTTTGGTAATCTTTGTAGTCATTCTTATATCTTAATATATCCTACCCGTCCCGTAGCCTACATTACAACCAAATAAAGTCCTAATTGATCCTAGATTGAATGAGCTCGATTAGTGGATTAGTACACTATGGGCAAGCTTATGGTGCATCTTTTGTGGCATATGAATGTTATTTCTGAGAGTGAGTGAATTCTTTTTATCTTGAGTTCTTAAGTATTCTTAAATTTTATTGTGTGGAACTACTCTCTTTTGTTGTGTGACGGCACTTGATTCATGAAGGAAAGGTAATGTCAGTGACCTCTATATTAGAGTAAGTGGGTGAGTTGTGAATAACGTGTGGTACTTGTGAGTCAAATCTTGAGGTGAAGATGTTACGCTTTTGTGCTTAGTCTATTTTAAATACTCTTGGTGTGATGAGTTAGGAGAATTGTTTAAAAAGGTCGTGTCTATAAAAAAAGTGCAGTTTGATTGCTCGAGGACGAGCAATGGTTTAAGTGTGTGGTGTTGATGATAGGCTATAATTACGTATTTTTGTCGCTTATTACACTCTAATTTACTGCACTTTAATTGAGTTTGCGCTTTAATCGCTAGTGTTTTGCACTAACGGTGTGGTTTATGCCTTGTAGGAGTGATTCCGAGATATATAGATATTATGGAATGAATTCAAGTGATTTGGAGCTTTGAAGTCTGAGTAAAAGCCCAAGGAATTAAGCTGGGATCGTATTCGGGGATCAACGGATGATAATAACAAAACGAAGACTCGAGGAGGCATATTGCGCACTGTCTAGAAAAATAGACATAACTTTTTTCTCAAAACTCTATTTAGGCTCCACAATATATGGTTGGAAATCTAACTCAAAGGGCTACAACTTTCGTGTTTTACGTTTTTCCAAATTCCAAACGGAACAGGGTGAAAAACTGCGGTTACGGTAGGACCGCGGTAGGATCGCGGCAGAACATTACCAAAGATTGAGAAGACCATTCTGGCCGCGGTCCTGGCGTAACCGCGGTGGGACCGCGGCAGGACACGTAAATTTCAGGGACTAAACTGCAAAACACAGGATTTTAAGCCCTAAACCCTATATTAAACGAGGGAGGCCGGCCAAGAGCGAAGGAGAATGATTTTTGGAAGTGAAAAACATCAGAAGGAAGGGCAAGAGGCAAGGAGGATCATTGGGCATCAATCTTTAATCTTCTTCTTTGTTCTTTTACCTTTGAATATGAATTCTTTTGTGATTTTTGTTATTTTCATGAGTAGCTAACTTTTCTAATCTACGGTTTTGGTGAAACCCGTTGGGGATGAATTGGTTGTTATAAGTAATATAGATTTGAATTAGTTTAATCTCTATTTGTTCAACTATGTTTTGATTGTGGTTAATTGAAAGGATCCTCAATTAGCCGTTCCTATTTATTATGTATCTGCTTGAGACAGAGTGCATATTTAGGTAGTTCTTTGATTAACATCACTCCCGGAGTATAGGCGAGAGTCATAACCGAGGGTTTAGAGGTTGGATTAGAGATAACGATACCTCGGGTGCGATCTAAGTGAACTGCAATGCGAATCTAGCTAGCGTAGCTTGAGAGAGTGCGTCTAGTAAATTATCATAATTGCTTGAGAGAGATTTATGATAGCTGGAGAGTTCATGATTAATAGAGGCAACTAAGTCAACGCTATAAGAAACATACAACCAAGGAAATCAACAACGGGGGAAACCATTACCTTAGACCTTTATTCTAATTGTTTACAATTCAAGCATAGTTAGTTTTCAGCTGTTTATTTATTTTCAATCTTGTCTTCTTGGTGATATTAAACAGATACAGCTAAGCCTTAGTTCTCTATGGGATTCGACTCCGGACTTTTAGACCGGATTATATTTGCAGCGACCACTTATCCTTTTTAGGACTAGAGTTGGACGTGATCAGTAGTCCAATCGGTAATATCTAATTTTTTACATTATTGGTGAGGATTCGATTCTCATCTCGTTATTTCCTCCTCTGTTCCCCTTCCCCCAAAAATAGTTGGTGGTAGAAATAACCATAGCAAAGGGTCTATCATACTAATAATCAACGCATGCCTAAAGTCAGAAAAGATTTTATTCACATGAAATGTTGAGTAATGTCTCAGGTGAGTGGAGGCCTAAAAGATCAATAATAGCCTATGGAATTTCCAAGAAATTTGGTGAAGTAATAGAACATTAGAACTCTTAGCTGGAAACAGCTAAGTCATAGTACTATTTCAATGATCAAATCAAATTATTTGGAAGTGGAAAAAACAGCTCAGTTATCTTAATAATTAATATTCGGAAATGATTTTCATTTCTGTTACAAAATAAATTTAATGATTAATATGGTTGAAGAATGTCATTTCTTTTCTTAAGGAATATACAAGTGCAGGAAGATTTACATAAATCAGAGTAGAAATATAAGTTTTAACTAATTTAACATTGTCCATACAAAATGAAGTTAAGAAAAAATCTCAAGTACTTTAAATCTCAGAAAATTTTAATATTAGTTTTAAAAAAATCTGAAGTTGATAGGACATACTAAGAGATTTCGTAGTTTATCACTTTATCTTGGCCTCATAAAATCGTTTTTCTTTTTCCTTTCAAATCTGAGGCAACAATAATTCATAACGTGTGCACAAGAGGGTGTATATATACGTGCATGCTCTTACATACCACATGTTTAGGGATATGATCTTGTACAAATAAAATATTTATGACCATAAATACAAAAACCATCATTTTAATTAAAGCCACAAAACAGTTACAACGCACAATGTTGTTGATCACACTCATCACCTACCTTATTCGTGAAATTTTCTTTTCGTCTTGTATTTAATATTACTGATCACACTTAAAAATATGAAAGGAGATCTTTTCGCATGATTCACGGAGGGAAAGATTCCTTATTTATCTGAAGTTTTTAATTTTTTTATGCGTTTGGCTAATTTTGATAAGTCTATGATTAATGGTTATAGGTTAATAAGTTTGAACTTATTTTGGATATTTTCTTAAGATTCTCAAAAGTTTACTCACCCGGTGTTTCCACCATATATTAGTTTATCATTGTTAACTATAAAATTAAGGAGAAACTATGTGTTAAATTTACTGTGGTTAAGTAATAACATTCTATGTCAAAGCACATGCCATGTATTTACTAAGATGGTGTAAAAGGTCAGGTGCGAGTAATTTTCTCCATTCAAACTTACAGCTTTTGTTCATTGTTACTGTTGTTTTACTCAATCGACTATAAATTTTAGACCTTCTTTGTGCGTTCTGGTATTTTCATGCTTCTGATCGGTGTGTTGAAGATCTGAAGGGTCGTCTTCATTTATAAAGCCATCAAGCGTAACTATATTTATTGATACAACCATTAAGTTGCGCGACTGTATGCATTGATACAACGAAATTGATACATTAGGTACGAACAATAATTAGGCAAACTATGGTTATGTATGATAATTAGACTCTAAACTATAGTGCTTTATGAAAATTCCTCGAAAGAAAACCATGTTACCCTTTCGAGGGTGAGTACCTCTCACCAGTATAGATACCGGGTATATTTATGTAAGATTTTATAACCATCTTGATATTGGAGGAACGGAAGAAAGCAGAGTCCTCATACTTGTGGTTCAGTTGCACCAGAAAAAATGAAATGATAAAATACTTTTATCGGATTTTCTTGATCCAAACATAGTGTTATTAGTGATTTCTGCTTGAGGAAAAACAATGAGTCGCCTTAGACGACCATGCAATAATTCATAAACTTCAAACATGTAATTGCTTTCAACATGTGAAGAACTAACGAACTAACAAACATGTCATCTGACTTTCAACATGATTTGTCTTTATACATTCCTACTAATTTGGCATGTGTTTCTATCATGTCTCTCGGCCAAGTGCATTATTGGCAACTGGCAAGTGACTGGTTTGTTCAAATAAGTAATGACGAGAGCAAATTAGTTTTCCCTTTTCTCAAAATTGGCAAAGTCAAAACCATTACTGTTTTTATGATGGAGAAATCTCAGTGTGACGTATAGGTTACTGGTTCGAACCGTGGAAGCAACAACTAATGTTTGCAGTAGAGTAGGTTGTCTATATCACACCCCTAAGGGTGCGGCCCTTCCTCGGACTTCTGCGAACATAGGATGCTTTGTGCACCGGGCTGCCCTTTTAAATCTATCTCAAGTACTACATTCAAAACTTCAGCGGATAAAGGGTTTGTCCTCCTACACTTCTCCAATTAAATACCAGATAGGATTTGAACTCGCAATGTGCGTCTACTCACACATCACGTGCATCACACACTGCACTCTTACCACTAAGAGAAGGGTGTAACTACAGAAAATGAAAAAGGCAGAGCACAATTACCCAAAGACCAAGATTCCCAGTAGCTAACTAGTCACAAATGTCAGGCAAACCGGTCTATGTATAGGTCAAATTTCTCAATTATAAGCAAGTATCCATACCTCTGAGGACCACAGTTCCAAATCTAGAACTTCATGCCTACTGAAGGAAAATTTGAATCTGTGGTCCTCTGAGGGATGGGTACATATATCGTATCACAAGGAGTGGCAATGTTTACCATATACACCGTATCATAAGTTTGACAAGGGCAATCCACTGCACGAAACTGCATGGTGCACAAGACATGTCATCGAATTGAGTGATAGCTCCTCTGGGTAAAACATAAAATTCATGAACAGGATAATGTAACATTTCACATAACACCAGTAGCAATAAGTGAGTCAACCAGCAACAAATGCAGCAAAAACGTACATTTCATTGCTCCATGAACGTTAAAAGGTACATAACATGTCATATAATATCCATGCCTACAATATTTACAGAAAGAGGTAACTATCAAATGTATACGACTATAAAGTTAAAAGGCACATAGCTCCTGTAACATGAATCGGAAGCACTTAGGCATTCTTAGAAGCATATGCCCAAAACTAAAACATACTCAGATGCCTATCATCATGCGTAAGACGGGCTGATTTAAAGCTCATAGTTCGGCGAGCAACTGGCATGTCATCTCTAGCAGCAAAGACTCGCTTGATTAAACAACTCAGAGTGAGCTAGCTTAAAACAAAATTTTATTTTCCAGTGCTTCCCAGCATGAGTTAATCCACCTTTCTTAGAACCGTAGTTTTCCCTGAAGTGTCAATGAAATATATAAACTTCTAATGAATTCTGAGGCAAATCACGTGAAGAAATAGAGGAAAGCCAAAAGAACAAGCTGCTTAATAAATGCACAAAAAACAGCCGATCAAGAATAAGCTTACACTAAATTGTTCGTTAGTTGAATATGGTAATGATAAATACTTTATTCCACCTTTTTCTGATAGGTGATACATATTTTATTCCACCTTCTAGTAGTGAATGATCTAGCAAAACATACAAATTATCATCCAATCAAGGATCAGCAGATTGTATCATTCAATAATGAAGATACATTATCATCAAAAATCATCATGGATTAGCAGACTGCAACGTTGAATAATAAATATAAGCATTTCCAGTACAAAAAGATTAATTGTATCAATACACACCACCTTCCGTCAAGAAAAAGAACAAATAAATTTGACATGCTAGCTCCTCAACACATTTAGGAAATGTGCCAACTCCAGCGCCTTTTCATATGAGGATCTAATAAAAGAATAAAGAGGCCACGTTTTGTTGAAATGACCAGCTTTTTCGAGAATAGCGCACAATAACGAAGTCTTCAGAATTGACCAACAATTGCCAAGAAAAACTCATCTCGGATTATAGTAGTGTATTTTCAAAAATCAATCAATAAACTCCCAAGGATTAGAAAACTGGTAGTTACCATAATGACAACTTTCAATTCCTAGATCCTACAAAAATGGGTATGTGAAAAGGAAACAACTATCGATGTATATGTGTATGCGTGTGCGTTTGGGCTGAGGCATAGTTGTTTTTGTTGCTGTTGATGGGTCTGTGTCTCTGTGTGTGTGTAAAGATACAGAGATCAAACAGACACAGAAATTCTTATATCTCTATATGGAGGTTACACAAAAGACAGACAGATCCAGAGCTCATAATGCCACATAAAAAATAGTAGTAAGCAGGACAAACTTCTTTAACCTTATAGCACTAAATCCTACAAATAAGCAGGATAAACTTATTTAATCTTATAGCACTAAATCTTACAAATTTCATCCATAACCAAATACTTAGGATAAGAAATTACCTCAGTAATGAATCCAAGAAACTCCTCAAACACTTCAAGTCTACGTTCAGAACGAGTTCATCTCCAAACAGTATGTCCTCCGCTTAACCAACATCATTGCAGCAGTCCCATAAGGCTCCTCAAACGCCGATCCAACCCAGTTCCCATCTGGCCCAACCACCTCCTTCTTAGGCTGCTCACTTGGCCTAATCGCCACCAATGTCGCCCCTTTCAATACTGTCCCATCAGGCAACTCCAAATGCGGGGCGTACCATAACCTCATGTTCAGTGCTGGCACCATAGTCCTTTTCGAGGCAGAGGAAGCCGAAAGAGGCTTCACTCTCAACTCCTCTAACTGCTCCTTATTCATACACAACACTCCCTGTCCATCCACATCCGTTAAAACCAAACTCTCAAGCTTCTTATGCTCAGCTATAATCGGCTGCAACAAATAATGCCTAGCCGACGCTGCAATTAGCGAACTAATTGTCCACACAACCCGTAGTTTCAATCCCCCGTTCGTGTAAAACGACTCGGGTATGCTCCCATTATCCAGTTCCCCATTACTATCACCCACAACATTACTACTACTGTTAGTAATATTACTATTAATGCTAGTATTACTAACCGGGTGAATCACTGAGGAGGCACCAAGAATAACACAATTATCAAGAGTGGAACCGAAATCAGCACGCCACCTTAGCAAAGCGCCCTCGTCAATACCCAATTCGCCACTAGGCAACTCGATCCTAAGAACCTTAATTTCATCGAAATTCTTCAAAACCTGTGTAGGGGAATGATGGGTGACGTCATTTTGCTCGTAACCATCGTCCAATGTAGAACCAGCGGATCGTCTCGAAGAAATCGAGATCAGCTGAGTAAGCGACTGAATGGGTTTAACCAGACCCAGAAACAGAAACCTAAGGAGGGACGAAATTGGATGGCGCGACTTACTAGTGGACCCCGCACCAGCAGCAGAGGTAGCGCCAGATGAAGATGAACCACCATCTTCGTCAGAGATGACGCAATCAACACGAACAATGACGTTGTCGACTTGAGGAACAAGTGAATGGAACCTTCTGGAAACTACACAGCATCTTCCTAGAGCTTTAACATCGCCGATCTTGTTGAAGACTAAGAGAAGAATGGAATCGGGTAGTCGGTCGAAGTGGTCAACGGGTTCAGGATAGATCGTTGACCTCAGATCTGACTTGGATGAACCCATATTTCTAGAGTTTTCTGATTAGCTAAAAGATTCTTTTGTAAGTGTGTAGGGAGAAGAGGAAGAAGAAAGAAGAAGAAGAAGAAGAAGAAGAAGAAGAAGAAAAGGATTATAGAGAGGACATGGATTTGGGAAGAGAAAAGGAAAGTGAGAAAAACAGAGTGTTTTTGTGTTCACAGAGAGGAAAAGAGGATATAGGAAGAGAGATGAGAAGGAGAAGAATCAAGCATACCATGGGAGTAAGGAGATAAAGACATAAAGTGTGTGTCTTTTTTTTGTTTTTTCTTTTCTTTTTTGAGCCTAACTATTAAGTATACATATCAATAATAAATTTTTTTTTGGAAAATTCTCAAAGGGAAACTCTTAGCTACTATCTTTTGGATAATCTGTTCACTATGCAATAGCTCGTAAATAAACAGGAGTATAAGGTAAACCCGGTGCGATAAACTTTGACTGAGTAAGTCCTGCACTATTTTATAACCATTTCGTATTTGGTATAGGTTGATTCAGATTCATAGGGATCCATTAAAAGGAAAGCATTTTGTATAAATGATTTTCATTTTTATAACCTAATTACCTAAATTCAAAATTTCTGATTAACAGTGGAAGAATCTATTCATCTCATCACTATACGCTCTGATGGTTGTATGCTACCAAATCAAATTAAAAAGTGAATTGTAGATAATTTCGTATAGCAAGTAGTAAGGGGTAACCTATAAAATACAAATAAATGATGATATAGAAACAAGCTTATGTAAGACATGTTGTATATATACATTTCTATTAGTTAATTATAGTTAAATGATATATTTCTCACTTTAATTTGTGATTGTTAAGACTAAATTATTTGGTTTGATGTCAAGAATATGCAGAAGTAAGTATTTTTTGAGGCTTGTTTTAGCAAGGGAACTCACATTCCCTTCCTAATACTAATGATGTAATTTTGTAACGCTTTTAATATGTCCAGTTTATCAACAAAACAAAAAAAACTACACTAGTGACGGAGATATAAAGATCTTCTATATTAGCACTATACATAATTATTTTTTTCTATTTTCTTTATTTCTTTTACATAATCTGTTTTTTTTTTTATATATATAATTTGGAAAAAGATGTGGGGACAATGGTTAGTGATTGGTATACTTTCATTGTCTGTTGTATGCTTGCTTTCCACCCCACCACTATCGTTCCTTTCATAACTACTTGCTTATTTTTTTTGCTTTTTACCATATTTTGTTATTTTGTTATTTTTTTGGTAGAGTTGTGTTGTTCTAATATTTTCTTGTTTGTTTCTTTTTGTCTCCTTTCATGTAAATGGATATTTGGAAAGACGATAGAACCAAGTTACTAAATGGATTCATTAACTCAAGATGCAAAATAAGGCAAAGATTTACGTTCTAGACATGTAAAGATGTTTAAGAAAATTTAATTAGGTTTTAACATTGAGAACGTGTTTAAGAAAAACAATCTCATTTTAAAACGTCCAGCAACTCTGTCATTCCAAAATATTTTTCTTTTTCATTTTTTGGATTGGGTGGAAAAAAGAATTTATGGGTTTTAAAAGCTCTAGTATCTTCTAACTGGGTATTTTATTTAATTATTGCTTTAAATACAATATTTGTTTTAGTTGTTACTTAAATTTTATTATATCGTATTGTTAAATTCGTGTTAAGTAATGATGAAAAGTTTCACTTTATGTAACGGCTGATTTGGCGTGGTCGCATCGTTATCAAATATTTTTCTCTCATCTTGCCCTTCCTTATTATTAGATAATCTTATTTTATCCTTTATCTTACCTTTTATCTAATAATTCTATCTTGTACCTTACTTTTTCTTTTCTAATATTGCGAGTTTCTTGTTTATATTGTTGGAACATGGCATCATGAAACGATGACAAATAATACAATCTATCCAAATATTATATACATTAAATGATCCAGTACAAATAATATAATACGATACAATACATTAGGAAACGATAAATAACAACCCTCCAAACAAGCTCTAAATTAAAAGCTTCTAACTGTTTTGCCTAGTTGTATGAAACCAAAGGGTCCGATTAGTCAAGGCAAGGTAGTAAATGAAGGAGATTTGGTGGAAGAGGATAGACAAATAAGGATGGGATTCCAAAGAATGGTAGTTTCCTACTTATCTAAGTTAATAACAAAAGGTATTTTTATTTGGATACTTAGGTGAGCTAAGTAAAGCCTTAGGGAAAAAGATTCTTGGAATTTATAGTTAGTGAAAATATACTTTGATTTGGTTATACTTTGTTGCTTGCGTTTGTAGCTAAGTTAAGAATTATTTCAAATTTTATTTTTTTTTATATTATCATATTAAGTCGATCTATGATATTAATTAATCTTTCATAACAAACTTAATATGATAACCTACAATTATAGAGTAATAATATGTTATGATCGTTTAATAACAGTAATAATATTTTGAATTGTCAATGTACATAACTTACGCTATGACCTTTTTTTGTTTAATCATGCGAAATTTGATGTCTACTGGTCCGACTAATCCAAATTCTGTTGCGGCAGCTAGGGTTTAGAAACTAAAATGTACAGCTAAGAAGAGAAAGAAAAATTTAGAAATTAAAAGGGAATTCTTTCATTCATATTTGGATAGTGCAAATACAGTGTATATAAGCTTCCACTACTAGCTAAAAGACAAAAGAGCATAAGTAATTCTATTGGACTCTAAGTACCTAAAATTAATAATTAACAGGGCTAATGTGTAAATGCCAAAACTTACACTTAAACTATTATAGGACTCAAATGCTCTCACTGAAAGCTTCAGCTGAAAGACATTCTTAACTAACTTAACCGCTAGGTACAACTATGCAGGCTCTTCGTACAACTCTGTTTCGCTGCCAATTAAACCTTGCATCAGTTCCCCCCTCTTAACATCTTTCTTGACCTCAAGGAAGGAAAGCAGGAAAACGTATTCTCAACGCTTGATAATCTTCCCAGGTTGCACATTCTGGAGGTACTTGTTTGCACTGAATTAAGACTTGAGCCACAACCTTGTTTCCCTTCTGGATCATTCGTCTCTCCAAAATCTTCTCAGGTTGTGGACAATAAGGAATTGATAAATCTATAACTGGTGGGTGAGAAATGGTTGTTGGGAGCTCATGGCAGGGTTTGAGTTTGGAGACATGGAAGGTTGGGTGTAAGAGGAGTTGAGGGGGAAGTGATAGTTTATAGGCTACAGATCCCACTTTTCAGAACTTGGTAAGGACCATAGTACCTAGCAGACAACTTAGAAAATGGTTTCCCCGACATAGAAACTTGTCTGTATGGTTGAATTTTAAGGTAGACCCAATCTCCCTTTTTGAATTGTCTGTCAAACCTGTGCTTGTTGTCTTGAGCCAACATTCTTTGATATGCTCTTTTAAGATGGTACTTCAGTAATTGCCTTTTGAATTCTCGAGTCAACAAGCTTCTGTCTATCTCCTCCAATCCTGAATCACCAGCAGCATAGGGTAGATATAGAGGTGGAGGTTGGCCATACAAAGCCTCATAAGGTGTGCTTTGAATTGAGGTATGGAAGGTGGTGTTATACCACCATTCAGCTGATGCCAAGAACTGAGCCCAATCAGCCTGAGAATCTGAGCAGAACCTTCTCAAATAGGTCTCTAAACACCTATTTACCACCTCTGTCTGGCCATCTGTCTAGGAAGGGTAGGCAGTGGAGGTGTTCAATGTTACTCCCATCATAGAAAACAACTCTTGCCAAATTTTACTTGTGAAAATGGGATCCCTGCCACTAGTAATATCCTCTGGTACCCCATGTAGCTTGTAAATGTTTTCCATGAAAAGTTTGGCTATATCATGAGCAGAATAAGGATGGGAAAGGGCAATAAAGTGAGCATATTTTGTGAGCCTGTCTACCACAACCCAAACCACATTTTTCCATTTTGATTTAGGCAACCCTTCAATGAAATCCATGCTTATACTACTCCATGCTGCCAATGGAATCTTGAGGGGTTGCAACAACCCCTGATAAGGTGCATTATCATATTTATGCCTTTGGCATATATCACAGGCCTTCACATAATTCTGAACCTCCTCCATCATTTCTTTCTACCAGAAATGTGCTGCCAACCTTCTGTAAGTGTTAACAATACCAGAATGTCCTCTTGTTGGGAATCATGCCAAAGCTGTAGGATGTTCTTTCTTAGTTGTTGATCAGGACCTACTACTAGTTTTCCCTTCCTTCTTAGTTGACCGTGGATGAAAGTGTATTTATTAACCTTTGCCTGAATCAATGTTGTGAGCTCTTCATCCTTATACCAACTTTTCATTACTAATTCCAAAAAGTCAGTTTTCATAGTGGAAAGTGTCATTGCAGCCAACTTGATCAGAGGAAGCCTTGATAGAGCATCAGCTACTTTGTTTTCCTTTCCTTTCTTGTACTCAATCTCAAAATTAAACTGCATAAGTATAGTGATCCATTTGAGTTGAGTACCTGTGTGTAACTTTTGCTCTAATAGGAATTTAAGAGCTTTTTGACCCGTCTTAACAATGAAAGGCCTGCCTGTCAGGTACTGTGACCATTTGTTCACACCTAGCACCAAAGCCACCAGCTCTTTTTCATAAACAGATAGGGACTGATGTCTTTTGGAGAGCCCCTTGCTGAGGAATGCAATGAGGTGCCCTTTTTGCATTAAGACAACCCCAATGCCCATGTTGCATGCATCAGTCTCAACCACAAACATTAGGGAGAAGTATGGAAGAGTTAGGACTGGTGCTGTAGTCAGTGCCTCCTTGAGTTGTTTGAAAGCTTCTCTAGCCTCCTCATTCTATATAAAGTTGTCCTTCTTGAGCAAGTCAGTGAGCGATTTGCTAATGACACCATAATTCCTGATGAACCTTCTATACTATCCTGCAAGGCCTAGAAATCCCCTCAATTGTGTCACATACTGTGGTTCAGGCCATGTCCTCATAGCTTCCACCTTCCTTGGATCACTGGACACTCCTTGTGCTAAGATATAGTGTCCTAAGTACTCTACTCTTTTGGCAGCAATAATATATTTACTCTTTTTGGCTAACAACTGATGTTGAACTAGTAATTCAAAGTCCACCTTGAGATGTTGTATGTGCTCCTCCAAGCTCCTGCTATAGACCAAAATGTCATAAAAAGACTAGAATGAACTTTCTGAGGTGATCCTGAAAGATGTGGTTCATCAATCCTTGGAAGCTTGAGGGTGCATTGGTCAAGACAAATGTCATGACCAAGTACTCATAATGGCCAGAGTG